TTCTTGTCCTGTCTACATCAAATATTATGGAGCATTTTTTATTATACATTGCAAAATACTGCTTCTATATGAAAAGGTCTTTTATTTTTATACCCGTAATTTTTAAAAAATGTTGCGGATAATAAATTTTTAATATAACGTACATATGTACTCGTATATGTAACTATATACAAATATTTAACAAACAATCGAACTGCCTTTTTTCTTAACACATAGCAAGCCTGCTGTGTGTTAAGAAAATTGGATTAAATTTAAGAAACACTAGTATAATAATAATTAGTATAATATAATTAATATCTAGTATAATGTAATTAATATCTAGTATAATAATAATTAATTTGTAGATTCTGAATTTTTGGAAAAAGTATTACAAGTTCATTATTTTAAAATGCCCGATAATCTACATAATGTTATACTATATCTTATCAATAAGGTGTCGAACAAATCGAAAATTGGGCTTCTCAATTATCTGTTTACGAGATTGAGGTAAAAAACCCAGAAAATTAAATAAAAATAGAAATTCTATTTTGTATAGGATTCGCGATTTTCTCTTGATCATCTTGTATCTTCATTTTACAACGTTGTAGTATGATGACTAAATTTTACTATTACTAATTATACAGACGTCCGATACAAAATTCCTTGTTTTATTTTGAATAATTTTAAACAAACACGAAATCAAAGTCAATAAGGAATTAAAAATAATGAATTTTAAACTAATTTTTTATATTTCTAAATTAATTAATAAAACAGGAGAAAGAATTTAATTAAAAGAAAAAAAAATTAATTAATAAAATTAAAGCTAGTCTTAAAATTTAAAATTCGACTGCTTTGCGTCATATATAGTTGCTCTCTTTTAGATAATAATGAATGAGTTTTTGCTTGTTGTATTTTTTTTTGTCATTCTATACTAATAGTAAAATTAGTTGAATAAAGTATACTACCTGTATTTTGTTATTCTTTTTTAATAGTAATTAGTAAAAACCAGTAATTAAAGTAATAATAATTAAATAAATTAAGATATGAATATGTATAAATCTTAAGTTGATATGTAAATAGGTGATATTAAGAATTTGCAAACAAAACTCTTAAGTGATTATGGCAAAAAAAAAATTGATCGTATACGATAAATAAAAAATTTAGTTTAAAATTAATTTTTTCATTTTTTTTTCATTTTAATTAACTATCTTGTTCTAAAAATAACATGAATTTCTTGACTTCATCAAATTAATCAGGATGGTATAATCCTGAGATATAACTTAATTGATTATTTTGTTTTTGTACTCAAAGTTATCGTAAATGTCACTTAACTAATAGCTGATATTCTTAATTGAATTTTCAATTAATAAAAATTTTTGCAAAAAATCTTAAATTTTACAGAATATGGCAATATAGATGATATAATTTTAATGTTTTTGTTATTATTTGTGTTGCTAAAATTAAAAGTTGGTGTTTGAAGAATTTTACTGTCAAAGGAATCAATATTAATACGTTTGCCTTTTTTATATTTTACGATTAATGTGCCGATTATATTTCGATTTGTATTTAAAATCAGAGCTGTTTTAATATGGAAAACATGTTTATGATATTTAAGGTAAAATGATCACTTTCTTGATTTTTCCGCTTTTAGAGTTTAGAGGGAAAACAATAGTTTTTTTTTAACAATAAATTGTGATTTATTCGATAAATTTTCAAAACATTTCAAAAGAAGTCAGAAATTTTACCGAGATTCAATTTTGTTTAGGTTTAGAAGAATGTGTAAGTTTGGTGTTAAAAGCTGCTATTGTTTAATATTATGCGTATGATTTGTTGAGTATGTTGATGTCATTAAATTTTTTTGTTATATATTTTAATTTATTACTCATTCTAATACGGTTCATTTTTACACAAAACATTTTATGCAATTTTAAAGGTGAAGATCTATTTTGCCAGTGAATAATACACTTTATATAATAGATACTTATAATTTATATGGAATAGGTTGACTTGAATGTTCTGAATCTAAAATAAAATAATAGACAGTTTTTCAAGTACAAATTATTTTGTAATTTTAGGGAAAAAAAAAGAATAAAATTTTAATTTGCATACAATTTTTAAACGATAAATCAATCGTCATCTTTTCTTTTTAAATATAAATATAACTTTAGCTGTAAGCAGAATCCTTTCATGCCTAGACTAATTTTAAATGGCTCATTCGAGAGGTTTACTTTTTCTCATAATTCAGTTGAAATGACAACTATTATATATTTAGTATTGCTTTCCAAAGCTGCTAGCAAAATGTCGATATGAACCAAATATATTACAAGGTTATACATACATAATTTTGATGGTAAATTAACAGATTCAAACTGCTGAATTTATTGTCCACCATTATTTTTACATCACTTGGTATAATGGCAAACCCAATTAATCGATAATGCTAAGTTTGTATAATATTTTAATAACTATACTATTTCCTATTTAAATGTTTAAAACATGCTTTTGATTATTTAAATATTTTTGGAACATTCTTAACCTGAATCGCGATCACCTCTGTGACCTCTGTAGTCAGCCAAATAATATTTGAATTTGAACCACAAATTGGGAATTGTCTCCTTTGTAACAATTTTGTTATTTAACATCTCTTAAAGTACTGTTCGTATGATTGCTTGAATGAACTGCAATATATTACATTATTTGTTATGAAAGTGTGTATTTCGCTTTACGCGCTTTATTTAGTGTTCAGTTATTTTACAGTTTGTAGAGAAAATTTCTTTTCATTTATTTAATTAAACTGATTGAATTTCGTAATAATTATAATAAAAATATTTTATAATTAATTAAAATTAATTTTTTTTTTTATAATTATTTATTTATTTTATATCAAAAAATAATATTCACTTTTAAAAACAAAAACCATTTATCGGCTTCTCCCATTTTTTCTTTTGTTTTTACAGTAATTTTTAAAAATAATAATAATTATCCTCCACGGTCATAATAAAATAAAAATTGTATGCGAAGCTTGTGCGTGCATATTATTTGGCAAATTTTGTATATTTTTGCTTCTTATGTTCGCATAACATTATTTTTGTTTACTTACATATTAAAAATGTATGTACAGTTATTATACCCGTACGAACGTATGTTCGAAGGGTATACTAAATTTGCCTTACCGTTTGTAACGCTAAGAAATAACGGTGTTAGATATAGACTCAAGTGTATGTTTTTGATCAGCGTCAAATTCTGAGTTGATTTAGCTTTGTCTGTCCGTCCGTCCGTCCGTCCGTCCGAACGATAACTCAAAAACTAATTGAGCTAAGTTCACCAAATTTTCACAAATGATTTATTGTAGTAAGTGCCAGAACCCTATTTAAATTGGACATGATCGGGGTACCGGTTCGGGTAGCTGCCATACAACTTCAAAATTTATTTGGCTATATCTCAGAAACTATAAAAGCTGTGGTATTAAAATTTCACACAAACGAATATATTAGTAGGGCCAATATACCCCATAAAAGTCGTTGAAATTACTTGGCTCCTTCTGGTACCTGCCATACAACTTCAAAAGTTATTTGGCTATATCTCAGAAACTATAAAAGCTGTGATATTGAGATTTCACACAAGTGAATATATTAGTAGGGCCGATGTGTCTGGTAAAAGTCGTTGAAATTGCTTGGCTCCTTCTGGTACCTGCCATACAACTTCAAAAGTTATTTGACTATATTTCAGAAACTATTAAAGCTATGGTATTGAAATTTCACACAAGTGAATATATTAGTAGGGCCGATGTGTCTCGTAAAAGTCGTTGAAATTACTTGGCTCTTTCTGGTACCTGCCATACAACTTCAAAAGTTATTTGACTATATCTCAGAAACTATAAAAGCTGTGATATTGAGATTTGACACAAGTGAGTATATTAGTAGGGCCGATGTGCTTGATAAAATTCGCTAAAATTTCTTGACTCTTTCTGGTAGCTGCCATACAACATCAATAGTAGTTTGGCACAACCAGTATTTTGAATAACACATAGTACTGAAATTTTGCATAAATTAATATGGTAATATGGCAACTTAAAGTCATAGTCTGCCCCATAGTTAGTTATGCCCCATTAGTTATTCGCACATAGGATAACAAATTCGTACGGGTATCACAGAGTTGACAAGGTCAACTCTATTTTTTTTCTCGTTATAAGTATTAAAATTACATTCATATGGTATAGTTACCAATATTGAATGGTGAAGATCAAATACTTTTTGAAAATTACCTAAAGTTTACATTTTTAATTTTTCTTTTCTTATTTTTCCTTTTTGTTTTGTTTTCTGTACTTACATACATACATATGTACGTACGTCAAATTTGTCTTTAGTTTGGTTTCTGTGTTAAAAATGCGTTAACAACTTGATTTTGGATTAAAAATGTGTGTTAAAAGAGGGTATGATATAATAATACTAGAGTATCTCACTTATAAATGGGATTGAATTTTTACCATCTGGCATCTGAGATGTATGTAAGATGTGAAATTCAATTTCTTTAACTCCCATAAATTTTTTCTTTTAGTTTTTAGTATAAAATCATCGAACATTTTTCATTTTGATATTAGTCTTTAGTAAACCATCAAACTCTTTTGGATACGTCTTCAAAATCTCTACATAAAATGGTAAAAAAAAAATAATTAAGAAAAGGAAATAACAAAAAAAAAAAATAAAATTTTTACTTTCGTTTTTCTTTTCAAAAATTTTCGGGATTATTGGTGTATTTTAACTGAATTGTATGCTACCGTCGTTAACATTTTAAAAGCGAAAAGAAAGTGAAATTTATTACGTTATTAATGTAGCCATGGTTACATTATGTATAATTATTAGTGATTAATGGATATTTTATTGAAAAGAAGAATAAAAAGTGATAATAAGAAATAAATTAATTAATAATTTTTTGATAATTAATAAATTTTTAATTAATTAATAGTGAATCCCTTTACACATTTGATTTGATTCTAAACTGTTATTTTTTTTATTTTATAGAAATTAAAACTAGTGTTACTGTTAACTTGTATAGCATCAATAGCAGCCGATGTATCACATTTATTTAATAGTCAAAATGGATATGGTTATAATAGACCACAGATTTTTGAACAAAATCATGATGCAATATCTATTCAACCATCTCCATTACCAGAACGAGAATATTTACCACCACCTTCCGCTCCCGTACCAAATTATATAGAACCAGCACCAGCACCACCAGCACCTATACCAACATTTGCACCAGTTCCATCTCTTCCGGCTCCAGTTCAAACTTATGTTCAACCACCCCATGCTCCGGCGCCAGAATATGGTCCACCACCACAACAAGAATATATTCCACCACCACAACCAGAATATATTCCACCACCACAACCACAATATATTCCACCTTCACCACCAATAAGACAACCACATCCAGAATATTTACCACCACCAGTACAATCGGTACCATTACCAGCTCCAGCGCCAGTATTTAGACCACAACCTCAAATTCATGTTCCAGCCCCAGTATATCATGCACCAGCACCTCAAGTTCATATTCAATCAGCACCTATTTATCGACCACCTGCACCAATTTATCGTCCACAACCACAGCCAATTCATGTTCCAGCTCCAGTATATAATGCACTTCCACCACCAGTATATAGACAACCAGTTACACAAACAATAGTAATACGTAAACCAGCACCAATTTATTCTGCACCAAGACCACAACCACATTATGTAGCACCACCCCAACCGCCACCAATTAAAACAATTGTAATTAAACATCACCGTGCACCATCACCAGTTTATCATTCACCAATATCACAACCAATATCAACATATATTCCACCTCCACCTCCACCACCACCAGCACAACAATTTATTCAAACTCAAGATTCTGGTTATAATTACGATAGACCAAGTACTACATTTATCTCTTAAGTAGAATATGTGATGATCGATTAATCAATTATTTTATATCGAATTTTTTTTAATTAGACAAATTTATTTTAAAATGAATTTTTTTTCTCCATAATTCTAGTGATTTGATATCATATTGTTTTTTTTTTTTTTGCTAAAAGAGTTTCATTTACCATAAATTATATAATATGTTAATATTGTTTACTAGATTTTGTAAGTCATTATTATTATTAGCATCTTGGAAAAAAAAATTCATTCATTGTTTATATTGCCATTCATGAATCATTTTCGGATTTAATTTAATAAAATTCAATATTATGTATGTATATGTATGTGTATGTTGAGTAAGCTCATTTGAATAGTAATTGTATATGTACTATTTTTATTAAAGACAATTATTCGACGAATTTGAAATGCAATTAATGTGATTTGTTATTCTTTCGGTGGAACTATTGGTGACATTTTCAATAATGTTCTAAAAATTAAATTATATCGACTAAATAAATGATGCACTACGGATTATGATGTAATGTTGGCCTTCATAATATAGCAGATTTTTATTATTAACTTGACCTTGTTTAACAAGCTAAATTCAAGATGAAATTTGAATCTATTTGTAAATTTTGTGGTTAGCAAATATGTGTTGCTATATTTTATTAAGACAGACCCAAATATTAACAAATTCAATTTGTTATTCTTTGGATTTTAATATAGCCCGTAATTTAAATGTATGTCTAAAGAAAGTCAACAATCTTCTTTGTTAAATTGAATACAAGATTTTTCAAAAGCAAAAATTACATTATCACAAAAGCTTTTTCATTTTGTTCGTTTATTAGTTTTTTTGGTGGATTTGCTCATTTTTTAGCGTCGTATTGTTATTACTCTTTTATGAATATTTGAAGAGATAAATCGTAAATAACTGTCTTTTTAAGTTTATTGACATTTAAAACGGTTAAATGATATTATTCATATGGTATTTTTTTTATGTAATCGCTAATTATGTTCAAAAAAAATTTTTGTTTTTCTGTTTTTTTTTTTTTATTTTTGGTTATTGTACTTTAAATGACCAACTTTTGTGCTGACCAGACATAATGTGATGTAAATTTGATTTGTTGAAAATAAGTTGAAAAATTTTGTATGAATTTTTCAAAAGAAAAATATTATGTAATTTTTTTTTCAGTTTTTACTTTTAACTTTTCTTAAAATTTTCGGATGCTGCATGAAATTTGTAAAGAGTAATTTTGTTTTTGCCGTAAATTTGTAAACATTTTTTTTTGTTTTTAAACTTGAAACTTACATGCTAAACGAGTATTTTTGAAATCAGAATAATTTTTTTAAAATTGGTAGGACCGCACATCTATATTTATACAGTTATCGGAGGGAGACGATTACTTTTTAAATTTATTAATTAAAATGTGTATTTAAAAGTAAAATGTTAAGATACGGGGTGGTCATTTTATTACGTATAAACATAGCATACTGTGACTCTGCTATTAATGGTGAAATTTTTAATAACGGTAATATATTTTGTTCGGAAAATAAAAGATAATTGCGTTTGTAAACTGAAGAGATTGCAACGCTAAAAAAATTGCAAAAATTAAATTATTGGTTAAAATATTTTTTATTAAAAATTGACAAAATATGGAACGATTCGAATATATAATAATTAAAAAAAAAGAAGCAGTTTAATTTTTAGTGTTATGTCATGCCTGTATATAAAAATATCCATTTCTTTTTCAGATATTAGGTGAAAAACGATTCTGTAGACTGCAATTATATTTGCAATTGCATTAAGAAAAGCTTGCTTTACTTGACATGATAATTTCATATTACTTTGGTATATTAATGAGAATTGAAATAGAAGATTGAATATTACTTTTTAAAAAATGCGTTTTCCCATGTTGTAAGGAAATTTGCTATTTTACGAAACATTAGTCATTGATTGTACATAATTCGTTTTTATTGTATTGAGCGCATTGAATTAAATGCAAATGAGAGATTTTATGTCATGTATTTTCGTCGAATTACGTTACATAATTCCGAGTTCATGTCGCGATGCTTGGGAGCGTAAATAAGCTATTCTCCGAAACATGTCTGTCTATCTGTTCGTTTATTCCTGTATCTCAACTTTAGCTGAACCGATTTTGATGAAAATTTATGTCTGAGTTTATCTTGACTACATAGGTGTTCGAAGGAATTACTCATGACGTGTCTGTAACTGAGTCTTTACTACGCGCCAAATCAATATTTCTGTGAATACAATGGAAAACGAATACTGGTTATTAAAGCGATGAACTAAAAAATTTTTCAAAAATGTCAGTGTTCAGAATCCGAAAATCCTTAAGAGTCAATTTTACATTCTGAACTACGTTGTACGGAAATAATTATCGCAACTTCTTAAAAATTAATATAAGTGTGGACATGCTCTATCACAGGAAGCAGGCGGTGGCAAGAGGAGCATTTACCTCGAGCCTCACTATCTGCTGGGTCTCAAATTAACAACTCAATATTTTAAACAAAATGTTTTAATTTGAGAATATGTCTTTAATTAAGAGAATATTAAATATTTTCATTTGTGTGTAAGTCACAATGAAAAAATTCACCATGAAAAAAGTTAAATTACTAAATCTTTTCATAAAACTATGTGTCAGGACCGACGAAATGAATTAGCAACTATAAACATTAATTATGAAATAGCACGTTCTTTAAATCATTCAGACATAATTATTAAATTTTCTGATGTGCTATAATTAAAAATAAACTAAATATTAAAATATTGCTTTTAATCTGTTTATTTATACATCGCATTTGAAAAATCTCATGGCCTCTAAAGAACAATTACCCCTGGCCTCGCATTTTCTCTTAAAGCTCCTGAGGGCTGGGTTTGTCAACAACAACTTTAGTTCTGAAAATATTTTCGAAAAATTTATCAGAATGGGAGAAATAGAGACTTTTAAATTATTATATGTTTGAATTTTCATTTAAATATTAAATTTTAATCAAAATCCTTGTTATTCTTACGAAATCTTAAGTTAACCATTTGGTTCTAAAGAAAATATCAATAAAATTTAATTGTACCAACATTAATTTTAATAGTTTGCAAAAGTTCTCGTCACATCTCTATCTGATATACATAAATCTATATATTATGTATATATATAATGTGAGATATTAAATATCGTATCGTATACTTAATGACAAATTGATATTTAATATTTAGTCATTGAAAAGAGGATTTAAAAGTGATTTTATGGTAATAAAACTTCCTTATATTTTAATCAAAAGTGTTAAAAATCCACTATAAATTAATTAGAAATAGTTTTTAAAGTATTTTACCTTTATCTACAACCTATATACAATGTTCGTATACAAATATTGCATTATAAGTGTATACAAATGAATGTATATGAGTGTATAACTACATACATTAGATGTTTGTTTTTTATGAGGTAATTTATGTTCTGAAAAACTCATTTCAGTTCTCATTAAATTTAATAACGTAGATATATACGAGTATACATAAAATTTATGGTTAACCTTCAGGGTTCTTATGATATTCTAGTTTTATTTAATTTTTGCTAAGATGACAAAATAATGAGATTTTCTGAGCTTGAATCATTTTTGAAAATGTACATGTACAAAAATATACGCATAGTGATGTTAAAATATGCCTCATATAGTATAACATCATAAATTTTAAATTATATGTATGTAGTACATACCAATGCATTATATACGATTTTTTTTTATTTTTGAAATTAAATCAAACTATATATATAAAATAAGCATTAAAGTAATTTGTAAATTTCGTTGGCTTTAACTTAAAAACCACTGATGATTTAAGATAAATTATTATGTAGATGTAGGTTTGTAGTATATAAGGTTTTAATACTGTGATTAAGTATAATAGTATGAGTTGGAGAGAATACATAATTTTTAAACAAATAAAATAAAATCTAATGTAAATAAATTTATGATAATTAGAGTACACAGTTGACAAACCATAATAATTCCTCATTGATTCAGATTAATAAATAGGTAGTAAAATCTTGATGAAATGCAAGAATTAGTAGAACTTTTAACAGTAATATAAGTGCAGTTTGAAACAACAATACATAAATCATTAAATTACATTAATATTAAATTAATCTCCTTCTTCAAAGCATGTATGTGTTTGCTGTAAAATACTCAGGAATTGCCAATTTCTAATATTTTCCATAAAAGTATTTTTACATCGCTCGATAACCTTTAAAAATACAAAAACATTAAATTAACTCTGTAGTCTAGTTAATGATAATGGTTGAATTCTAAAAATTACTCAAATATAAAAGATTTATACAATAATATAATAGAAATATTATGTAGGCTATTTAATATTGAAGGTCACCTAATTATTAAAGTTATTCGTTTCAAAAAAAAAAACAAAAAAAAAATCGTATTGTTAAAATAGCGTTATTAATGTTATTATATAATAATTATACTGAAAGGTTTAAGATATCGTCCTATATTACATACATTCTTTTTAAAGGTATAAATAGTATCATAATTATTTATACGTAAGTGGTATTGTTGCTGCCCCAAAAAGAAAAAACTTTTATTTAATTAACTGAACCTAAATTGAATGTGACACATTAAAATATATACACATTATTAAATATCTTAAAGGTTCCCTTAAATTTAATGCAATGTCAATTTTCTTCCACTTCACAGACAACAATGGATTTTTTTAAGAGAATGTGTATATGATGTAATATTAAACAGTTGTTCATCAAAATTGTATGGTATTTAAAAACATATTATGAGTGAATTTCAGAAAGCTGGAAGCAATGTTTTCCTCAATATATTTCTTTTATTGTCTTAATACTGCAATATAGAATTAAAATCTGCTTAAGGATTAAGAACAAGAATATGATATACCAGCTTTTAAGTGGGAATTTAGTTTTACACAATTATGAGCTTTAGCAAATTTACAAATATCATTAGCTTAACGTTAAATGGAACAAATTTTTATCCATATACATAATATAGCATTAAACATTAAAATAACTCAAGATATCTCTAAAATTTAAATTTCCTAACAAATTTTCAATTATCATGCAGAACTGGATGGCCTGCCGAATACATTAAAATGGTCTACAGAAAACACAGAATAATCGGGAATTAAAATATCACTTTAATATTAATATAAGAAATTTAATAGAAATCGATCATTTGCCGCAGTAGTGACATAACTAAAAAAATCTGATGTGGTCAGCACATAACCGACCGCATTGTGTATTGTCTAGTTAAATGAAAGTGTTACAGAATATTATAAAAATGTCTGTTAAATACTTCTTTCCAATTTTTAGGACATTAGTAAGCTTATAGTTAACATACTTAGAAAAATGCAAATTTGGCTCTTAGTAAAGTTTCGCTTTGTGCTACCCGAATTCCCTGAAATGCTCGCCAGTTAGTTTCGGTAACAACCAGAACTCATATATCAAATTTCAAGAAATTCCATCAATTTGTTCTGTGGATATGGTGAAAAATGTAAAATCGGCCCGCAAATCAGTTCTCGAGCCCTGATCTTTCCAAAAAATTTACATGTTCATTGTTTTAATACGGGGAATTCATATATTAAATTTCAATGAAATCGGTTCATTATTTCTCTTTATATACACAAAAATGTATATTTGGCCCGTAGTAAACGCCCTGTTGCTGTTGCCTGATTTCTTCCAAAAGTTAGAAATTTTTGTGTATGATCGAGCAAAGCTTATATATGAAATTTCAAGTAAATCGGTTGAAAACTTTCTTCAAAATGGTGAAAAATGTAAAATCGGCCCGCAAATCCGTTTTCGAGCCCTGATCTTTCCAAAAAATTTATATGTTCATTGTTTTAATACGAGGTGTTCATATATTAAATTTCAATGAAATCGGTTGATTATTTCTCTTTATATACACAAAAATGTATATTTGACCCGTAGTAAACGTCTAGTTGCCGACGCCTGATTTCTTCCAAAACATACGAATTTTTGCGGACGGTCGAGTTGAGCTTATATATAAAATTTCAAGTAAATCGGTTGAATATTTTCTTCAAAATGTTCAAAAAAGTAAAACAGGCCCGCTAAAAAGTGCAGTTCCCGAGGCCTGATATATACCAAAAGTTGATCGATCCGTGCCATGGTGGAAACAAACTTACATATAAAATTTCATCAAAATCGGTTCAGCCGAACTTGAGATACACACGTGCACACACAGACCGACAGACGGACAGACCGACAGACCGACAGACCGACAGACCGACAGGTTGCTAAAAATAGTTTATTTACACTTCCCTACTATGGAGAAGTACGTTCCCACCGAAAACTCGATATGCAAAATTTGTTGCCATCACATAACCTACCTATTGTTTACACAATACGGTCGGTAAAAAGTACGATTGCTGATTCTTATTATTGAAAGAAATAAGCTTTAAAAAATTTTTTTTCTTGTTCAAAAATACCATTTTTCCCTATGTTTTGAAAATTATCGCTTACATTAAATTTTAATTAAAGTATATTTAATGTTGCTGAATAAGTAAATTGCAAATAATTTTGTTACTAAACTAAATAGCTAAATTGAATTTTTATTGCTGAATAAAAGTATATAATAAACATCGGCACAACAACATGTTGTGCAACAATAATATAATATATTCAGAATTGTAATAATACCATATCGATACAAAATTCAGCAATTGGTATTTATAAGCTGAATTCTGCAATAGTACAGTATTATTCTATTTCCGAAATTAGGGTAAATTACAGCATTATTTTAATTTTAAACTCAGGTAATGAGAATTTACCTCACGTTTTTTACAATATGCTCAACTGATGTACCTATGAATGTACATACTATATACCGTAAACTATTTATACATGAATACTAAAATTATAAATTACTTTGTTTTGTATTTATTACAAACATTATTATATTTACACATTAAAAATATTATAACGATGCCAAAATATATAAAAAAATTTCATTAAAATCTACAACGTATCTTAAATTTATTACAATTTTATTTACATAATTATTCATAATTTTCTCATACCTACTATCTTTAACATTGTACTTAAACTAGATATACGTACATACATACTTGTAATATGATTTTGCAAAATAAAAATTTTACACGCTGAGCTATTCAATGATGGTCATCTTTTATGATGCGTACTAAAATACACAACATGTATGTACGTATATATAGATTAAATATAACTTGTATGCTTACACTTGTTTATATAACATTGTAGTATATGTAGTTTAATATCTGTGCGAATATTATATGAAAAATTAAAAATCTTTAAGCTTAATTATTGTATTTTAGAATATTTTATTGATCTCTATAGCATAAAAGGTGAGATCTATTAAATGTTTTGTTTTCTTAATTTTTCTTGTTTTTTTCTTTTTATATTGTTTTTGATTTTCTTCTTACAATGCCGGACATTTTTACTTTTATATTATTTTATTGAGAATGTATTTGTGATATGATATATTAATTCAACTGTATGATAAATCGATGATAGTATTGGAATACATTTATGATAATAAATTTGATGGTGAATTTTAGCTTTTAATATAATAAAAATAATAATAATAAAAAAAAAACAAGCATAATAAAAATAAAAAAAATAGTTAAAATATACAGCATCAACTCAAATATACTGAATTTCTGAAAAAAAAAACTATATATGAGAAAAAAACAAAAACAAATAAAAAATGATTCTGGTTGCCGTGGGTATAAAATCACTGAAGCTTTTGCAAAATTTTATTAGTCGTTAGTTAACTATCAATCTTTAGGATACAAACTTTGTAAACAAAATGGTAAATAAAAAATACTATATTAAAAATAAAAAAAATAAATCTAAAATAAAAAACAAAATTTGTGGAGTCGTGTAAAAGAATCACGTTCTTAAATTATAATTAAATTGTGATCTGCTTTACGATTTAAAAAATTTCATTTATAAAAAAAAAAAGAATAAATTGAAAGTGAAATTAAAATTACTTAGAATTTATTTTCGAAAAATAAAATGTGTTTTAGAAAAATTTAATAAATTTGACATAATGAAATTCTATTCCATACCAAATTACAAAAAAGGATTAAAAGGATAACAATATTATTATTATATTTATGGAAAATGGATATTTGAAAATTTGGCGACGTTATTTAATTGCAATTCTCTTAATTGCAAAAAATTTTGTATTAGAATTCAATTAAAAATAATTAGTTATGAATTCTAATTGTATTCAGTTTTAGGATGAGAATGGAAACGGATATAATTATGTAAATGTATGATAGTTTTATGAAATCACATACATATATAAAATTTCGGGTTCAAAATATATTTGAATTCGAAATTAAATAATTTTGATTCATAATTTCAAAATCTTTAAAGGAGGATTTCAAAAATTTAAAGTTCTCATGCCAAAGAACTGTTCATTTATTTTGGAATTCAAAGGAATTTTGGAATTTAAATTAAAAAAAAAAATTAATGTTCATTGCACAAAAATAAATCATGTGCCATAATTACACCAAAACGTTTAGAATTAATAAAATTCATTTTATTTCGGTTTAGTAATTTTGACATAGGCACCTAATTAAATTAGCCCTCCATAAGTATTTATACTTATTTTTCGAAAATATTTGCTTAAAACTATTCAATTTAACAATTTAGGAGATTGAATCATACAAATGTACGAGTATTAAAAATTTAGTACTTTTATTCTTAAGATGTACTAAAAATTTAGTGCAATTTCGTATGTTTTTTATAAATTTTTTTTTTTTCTCTTTTTCTATTACAGAAATTCCTTGTTGTTGTTTTGGCATGCATTGCAGCTGTAACAGCTGATGTATCACATTTATTTAATAATCAAGGTGGTTATAATTATCCAAATAATCCACAACCATCATTTGATGAAGGTCATCATCATCACCATCATCATCAAGCACCATCATTTAATGTACCACAAAAAGAATATTTACCACCGGTATCACATTCAGCTCCAGTATCAACATATGTACCACCAGCTCCTGTATTCCGTCCACAACCAGCTCCAGTTTTCCATGCACCTGCACCAGCACCAAGACCACAACAAGAATATTTACCACCAGTAGCTCCAGCACCAGCACCTGTATTTAGACCACAACCAGCTCCAGTTTTCCATCCAGCTCCAGCTCCAGTATTCCGTCCACAACAATCATATATTCCACCACCAGCACCAAAACCAATTAATACTTATGTACCACCACCACCAGCACCAGTTAGACCACAACAAACATATTTACCACCAGTATCACAACCATCATTCTCAGCACCAGCACCATCTTTTAGACCAGCTCCAGCACCTGTATTCCGTCCACAACCAGCTCCTGTTTTCCATGCACCAGCACCAGTATCAAGACCACATCAAGAATATTTACCACCAGTAGCTGCAGCACCAGCACCTGTATTTAGACCACAACCAGCTCCAGTTTTCCGTCCAGCTCCAGCACCAGTATTCCGTCCACAACAATCATATATTCCACCACCAGCACCAGCACCAGTTAATACATATGTACCACCACCATCACCACCAAGAAATACATATGTGCCACCAGCTCCACAACCATCAGAATCTGGTTATAATTATGATAGACCATTCACTGCCTTCAATTTTTAAAAAAAAAAAAAAGTATAACAAAATAATAGATTTTTTGTGTATATAAAAATGACGATCTTGCCTTGTAAATTTCTAAAATTTGAATTTAATTATTAATTATTATTTGATATTTTTTTTTTTTAAAATAATGTAGTAGAATGAGTGATATATTTAAATTTTAATTATATAAATTGTATATATATATATATATTATATAATATGATTGCTTCTGTGTGGAATATATAAAAAGAATTTTTGTTTTGTTACAAAAAAAATAATAAAATATAAAAATTATTATAGAGGAACAAAAATATATCCGAAAAGGATAATTTTATACTCATCCTGTAAATAATGTAAAATATTAATGTATTTTCGAAAATTTCGAAAATATTTTTAGATAACAAGAAAAGTATACCTAAAAGATTTTTATTTTTGTATTACAGAAAAAAAAAATAAATTGTTTTCTATTTTTCTTTTTTTTTTTGGAAACTAATCTATTACAAATTTAAATGTGTTTGTTATTAAATTTATCCGATTTCAGCAATCAAAACTATACGAGAAAATTATTCATGAATAAATTATGGTAATTTTATTCTACTATTTACGGGTATTATATAACAGTAATTTGCATAAATTTTGCAAAAAAATTTTGTTTTTCTTTTGAAATTCTCAAAGAATTTTCAAAATTCTAAAAATAGAATATGAAGAAGATCTTATAATTACCCACTTTATTGTTTTAATACAAATTATTTTTTTTGTTCATTTTTGCAAAATTTGAATTCTTGAGTTTCAACTTTCTAAAGTATAATATGTTATTGTTTGCGAAAATTAATGGATTCTTTAAATTAATTAAAATAAATAATTTACTCTATTGTACCACGCTAAAATAATTTTATATTCTATTATATGGTTTTTTAAATCGACCTTCACTTAATATATTACTAGACTCTTCCATGTATCAAAAAAAAAATTGGCAACAACTTGACAACAAAATTTTATTAAGATTTATTTGAAAATATTTCAAATTTATTTTTTGAAATCAAAGCATTTAATGAGAAAATTTCTAACATTAATATTGTAGATACAACAAAATAAATTTTGATGTCTTTGGATATAGTATCTAAAAACTGCCATCTAAAAATTGATTCTAAAATCAAAATTTGGGGGGCCAGAAACAATTTTTTTTTTGAAGAAACAAGTTCTATAATTCAAGTTCTAACTCTAATAATTTTTAAATCTAATTATTTTAGGATGGCATTTTGAAATTTTAAAATATTAATTTTATTGCATGTATAAAATTAGGACAAATCTAGTTATGTATGTTTAGGCTTATTAAGTTGGAAATTATAAAATTTATTATACAATAATTTAAAAATAATTTTTTTATAATATTTAAATTTTTAATTGAAATATTAAAAGAATTGCGTGGGTGTTTATTGCACGTGAAACATATTTTAAAATTTGAAATGCGAATAATAATTGCCGAATATTTCAGAAAATTTGTTTAGTAATCGGCTCAGTTAGTAAGTTATTTTCTACTGTTAGGAATTTAATAATAAATTCTTCACAGTAGACAAACAAGGGGCTTCTTTCTCATTAAGATTTTAATTAAAGTTTAATAAACAACTCAATATTAAATAATTAATAAAATAAAAATTTCTCAATTAATAATAATATAGTAAATATAAAATTCTGTTAAACAAATTATGAAGATCATTAACATTAAAGTAATAGAAAAAAAAACCTTATAACTAAATACAGAAGTTGTTTAAATTTATTGTATACAAGTAATAATTAATATTAAAGTTTAATGAACAAAAATTATTTTAAAACCGCAAACAAAATGAAAACGAAAAAAACAAAACTATCAAGTTTAATGATTCCATACTAAATATAGGTAAATTAAATTATTATATTTCTAGTTGTACTGTAAAATATTGGTAGAGCAAGCTCATAAGGTCAAGTTTTTATACACTAAAATTCATTTTGATTTCTAATGATAAAATAACACATGCGCTGACAATTTAGTAGTTTGTACTAAAAGTAAATAAATAAGTTAGATCTATTTGATTTAATATTATAATTTTAAAAATTTATATTTAAGAGTAAAAGAAAAAAGAAGTTGAAAACAAATAGAAAATGTGATGCTATTATAATAGAAAAAATTTCATGAATTACTAGTTCTACTAGTATGATACTAATACTAGTTATTACTAGTATAAAGTTATTTTAAGTATTATATTATAGCTCTAAAGATAAACTAAAATGCCGGTAAAATTTTAATGGAATTTGTATAAAAGAATAATGTCTATAATATGGGGTAGTATACAATAGATTATTTTTATTTTTATTAGTTGAAAAAAATCAAAATTGAAATGGATTTATCATTCATGTCGATTTCATTTTGTCTGTCTGTTGAACATTTCAAAGTATTTTTTAAAATTCCGAAATATTATTTTTTAATTGATCGTAATTTCAGATGAATGATACTAGAAGATTTAGCATTTGGTGTTTTTAAAATAATAAAATTCCTAATAAGATGATACAGCTTCTGAGGCGGAGCAATACTTGCTGTTCTATATGGTTGAATTTTTCATAGAAAAAAAAAATTTGTAAAATTAATTGTCACATTTAACTAGAAAATTAAATATTTTGAGTTGTAACAGTTTTGAAGAAAAAATTATGAAAGGTTCATAAGGTTTCGATCGAAATTTCTTATAACGTCTTCATGAATAAGACTTCATGGTTCCGTTTAGCGTTCAGTTCGGTTGCGACCTAAAATAAATTAGTAGTGTAATCTATCCAACTCCATGTTTAATTTTATTAGAAGTATTCTTTTTTCAACGTCATGTTTAATTTTATTAGAAGTATTCTTTTTTCAACGTGTTGCCGTTCTAACAAGAGCGCTTCCTACAATGTCACATTAAATAACCCGTTTTTCCTTATTTTTGACTCAAACAAAATGTACCTTTTTCCTAAAGATTCTGTCTTTTTTTTCTCCAAAAATAAATCGAAAATTTTTTTTTTTTCAAAAATTATGAAAATTATATAAGATTTTTATACAGTGGGTTAATAGTATTAAAATAAAAATGCAGATTAATTATGACATTTTTAAAATTTATAATCTATTTAATTAAATATTTGGTTAAAAAACATTATTGAATAGAGTTAGAAATAGAAAAATTATTTAATTTTATTTTTTTTTCTTTGATATTTCGTTATGCTTTTCTTATTATGTTAAGCTTTTTCTATGTATGTGTATAACAGTTTTTGGTTATTTATTAAAAATAGCTGTGAACTAAATTAAAAGAATACAAAATAATATTTTTCATCTTCATCACTAATGTATAGATTAGAATTTTTTTTGAATAGATTTAGTAGAATCGGAAAAACGTGAAATTTTAAGAATTAGATTAACACAATTTTGTAATGTTTTTGTTTTTCTATTGTTTTTTTTAATGCTTCTAAGGTTATTAATGGTGATGATGAATAGATCAGACCAGTTATTACGCAATCAACAAGGTTAATGATGATTAATAATACTTTTTTTTTTTTTGAAAAATTTTCCTTTTAAGCTGACTATTTCGCACTCGATTCGTTTAAGTTTCTTTTATATGTTTTCACATTTTTGAAAAATAATATTTTTATTTTGTTACAAAGTTATTAACCTAAATATTAATATTTTTGTTAGAAAATGTAAAGAACAACGCGCGATAACAATGTTGTTATGTTTACTATAGGATAGTTTGTTAGAAGTTTTGGAAATTTTGCACTAAAAAGTGAATTTAAAGTGGTTCTTGAAAATATAGTTCACTTTTCCTGTTTGAGGTTTGAAATAATTTAATTCGTATCTCTGCAGCTGATTAAAGCGGTGATCACTAATGTGAATCTGTAATTATGAATTTTGTTCACTAATATTTTTCAAAATTTTTTATAGTAAAAAAAGCATCTGCTAATAATAATTCAATAAATCTAATAATTCACTGGTAAAAGAAGCAGATAATACAAGAATTTTAATTTAGGAGATTGGCAATGTGACATTTAAGAAAAAATATATTGTATACATTACAAAGAAGTTATTTATTATCAACCCACACAGCAAATTTTAGTTAAACTAGTGGCAAACATTTTTGTTAAACTAGTGGCGCCAGCACCATTTTAAATAAAATTAAAAGCTTTCTTTTTAAAGCAAGAAATAAATTCTATTTTACCTATATTACGTTATTGTTTACATATTTATGTAGAATAAGAATAGGCATAATAGTAAAAATCTTTCTAATAAGATATTCTAAGGCAATACAGGAATTGAAGTTGAATTACAATAAAAAACGTAATAATTAAAGTTTTAGTCATAATAGTTCTCAAAGAATACAGGATAATACAGACTGATAAAATCAAAATTCGATTTTCTATTTGAGAAAGCAAAAAATATTGAACGCCGAATATACATATATAATTAAAATTAAGTCTCTTAGAATAAATAGTCGTAACGTAACCAATTGAAAATTAATTTCAGAACAAAAGAAGATGTGATAAAATTCAATCAACTCGATGGAATAATAACTATGGTAGATGAAGAAATGGAAAATGAAATATTTTATTCAATTGGTTAAGCTAAGATAGTGTTTGGATGAATGACTACTTTGGAAATCTGCCACGCAAATAAGCTAATATGCAAAACATCCAGGATTTTCATATATAAACATTTTTAACTCGAATTAAATTTTTGTTTCTGGCAGATATTTGTTCGTATTTTCCTTTCCGATTTGATCGTATTTCCTCTTTATAACCAACTCTTCTCAGTTTTAAAGCTGTGCTGGATTTACTTTCGGAAAAATCAAATATTTATTTCATCATGCATAAACGTTTACACCTTTTTGCTTTATAAACGGATTTTGTTTTTCATTATTCAATATTCGTATTGCATTTTCTTAAATTTATTAATCCCTGAAATAATACTAAACCTATTTAGGTATGAAATAAAACAATTTCCGAAATTAATAAAACTTGTTAATTATGATAATTGGGTTTGAAAATTTAAAAAGAGAAACAAAATAAAATCAAATGCGAAAGAGAAATATTTTTATTTTTTTTTCTTATTTTGTTTATTTAATTGTTCTCATCTGGAAATTTTCGTTTCCCTTAATAATAATGAAAATAATTCCGGCTATCCAATAGCTTTAAGCTCATTCAACTTATTACTCTCATTTAATTTTGTTATAAACACAACTACACAATACAACAGTGTTGAAAATTAAATGCACGCGGAAGTTGAATAAAAATGAATTAAAAATTAAGATTAAACTAAACAAATTCTCATAATTATTGAAGAATCGGAGGGGAAGAGATAAATTAAGTATTAATTACTAAGCGGCGATGATCATATTTGAAATTGTACATGTAGAAGTTCGTAAGCTCACATTAGAG